AATTTTACATGGAGAAGGGGATCAAGCCAAAGAGTAAGCATGTCGGTTTTGATAAAGATCCGTCAATATTTAGCGGGTCAAATAGACCATGACTTTTGTGTGAAAAATGACAAAATTTGTATCCTATGGCGTATATATTTACCCCTTATGGACATTGACCCGAGAACTTGATAGTATATTCAGAGGAGTGGTTGACCTTTAAATTGATTCCAATTATATCGCTGTATGTACTCGGATGTGGGAGTTGCAATTAAATATTTACAGGTGTCTACGTATTCACATATTATTTAGTAACCCATTACCACACTGGAGGGCGGAAATATAGCGCTAATCGCTTTGAAATTTTCCATGAGGATCCAGGTATGGTCAAGGACAACGCCGATAATTTTCGGTTATGATCAGATAATAATTTTTAATTTTGTGTGTGTGTTTTTTTGAGTCGATCTATAGGCCACAATTGAAAGCCGAACATAACAACACAACTCATGGTGAAGGGAATCTGGACAAGTAATTGGAAGGGTTGTACTGAATATTAGTAATATTCGCAAAATATGTGAATGTAAGGAAGATGTGCTCGTGACCTTTAATCGGCAAGAAGGTGCAATTATCACGAAATATTGCCTACACTCGGAATAAACATCCACAGAAAGTTAGAGTTCATTGGTAATTGTGTAGGGTATCGTATGGTCGGCCACGTCGACTATACTTCTCCGCTCACTGTTTTTTTTAAGGGATTTAACAAGGGATGGATTATTTAAAATATTTTCTAATACTAATTCTCACAATGAGTGCCTCACGTTGGGCGCCAATATAACACTGAATGCTAAACAACAGCCACTTCGGAGAGAGGTCTATGCCAAAACATGTCAAACACTACAGAAAATCTTCTGCAAATATATTAGTCAGTCTCTAAGAACCGCAATAAAAAATTACATCCTCTTTGGTGAGAAATCGGCTAAAATCTTTAAAGTACCGAAAATCGGGACGGACCGTTATATAGAGGGTATTTCAAAAAAAAAACTTATATCGGAATTGTTCTTCAAACATAATTATCATCCTCCAAGAACCCTAACTGACAAAACTTAAAAATACCGAAAATGAGACGGTGCCAATATATGCGGGGTATGTCAGAATATGAACCAATTTTGTTAATTTTTAATAGGAAAATTTGACACCTAATTCGAACCCAAAATACAAAATTACAGCTAATTCACTTGAAAATGTACCCAAGCTCCTCAAGCTATTTTTGCTAGGGAGATGTTCTACCTAAGGAGAACCCAAAATACTAAATTACAGCCTATTCGGTTATAAAATGTACCCAAACTACCCACAATCCCAAAAATGGGGTTAAATATAAAATTAGGCCCAATTTGGTTGAAAATTATGTCCAAGGTCCCAAAAAAATTCGAATTTTGGGACGAAACTTATTTTCAGTGAATACCCCTTATATGTTGCCACATAAATTGAATGCATGCTGCCAGGCTGGGCTAGGTTCAGCCCAGCCTATGCTGAACTGTTGATGATAAAAAAATAGTGGTGGTGATGGCTCTGGCATAGTTTAGCATTTTATGCAAAAGCGTGAGTGTGTTGGAGGGAATTAATGAGAGACTGAGTGACTGAATGAAAGAATGGAGAACCCTTTTTGATTCTTTCCTGTCTATTGTTCGCGTGGTACCATTACACAAAGTCTCTGGTACTTTTCCATACGTCATTTTCGTTGTTGTTCCAAAAAAGGGTACAAACAATATAATTTATGCAAATGGTCAAAGCGTTTAGCGGAAGAGCAGCACGAATTGGCAAATATGCGTAACACTGGAATAAATTCATATACAAATGTGTTTGTGGGGGAAATGCAGCGGAACAATGCAGAAAAAATGTGCTTTACTAAAAATTTAGTTTAATAAGCAGGCAGAAATTAATTATGATGACGATGAGTGATTTTGAGCGGGATGTTGAGACATAAAGGGAGAATGCTTATGTGTAAAACGCGTGGCCATGTTGTTGATTTTCCTTATTAGGCACGGTCGAGTGAGGGAAAGGAGAGGAAAGAAAGGAAGCCATTTTTTAATGCTTCACTGAAATCACTGAACGAAAGCAGAAAAAGGTTTATGCCCTTTTTACGAAATACCGTGCCATTGTAGACCCTATCTTCCTTCCATATATGGTAGCGAACCTCAACTTCTTCTCCATTGTTTTTTCTCTACTTCGCCAAACGAACCATAAGTGTAAACTACAAAAACAAATGCAAAAATGGCAGAAGAAAAATCATGCGTAGCTGCAGCTTTCTAGGAACTATTAAAAATATATATTTTTACAAGGAATCACACATAACCAGCCATTGTTGTTATGTTCGGATGCCTCGACATACAATGTTTGGCCGGCCCTTGACTTTGGTTAAATGTGAAATAAAATGCTGCGATAGCCAGCCCTTAGCTTGAAAATCTTCGTAGAAATATTTTCATTCCTTAATAAGAGGCAGATAATATATGGCTGGCCATGAAATTAGAGATGGGCAAATAAAAATGCAATGCTAAATGGCTGGCCATTTGCCAGAGAAAATGGTTTAAGATTTGAGAGATTTAATTAAAAAAGGGAAGGATTTTAGGAAGACGATATGAATGAAAAAATAAAAATAAAGAATGGAATTTTTTAATAATGACAAAAAAATCATCCTCAGGTTCTGAGTATTTTTTTTTTTTTTTTTTGCTATAAAAGAAAATTGTTCTCAAATTCTGAAAAAATCGTAATAAATAGTTTTTCTCTGTTTCTGAAAATCTTTTTGTACCCTCTACCATGTGCTGAACATTCGAAGTACCTATAATCGATCAGGAATTGTATATGTACGTTTTTTAAGACTTCCTACGCCTCACTTTCAAACTGCTATATACTATCGTCGATAGAAGTGATAGAATAACAAGTGAAAAAGGCGTTAGGGTCTAGGCCTAAATGCGGGACTATATAGGTTATTCTCCAACCTTTGAAGATTTTTATCTCGATATGGCTAAATCGACTTAATCGTCTAAGAATTCCCTACTTTGTAGGGTATAAACTGACAATTTCGAGTACAGAATATCCCCCATACTATGATGGAATGTGGCTATACGGAGACAACCCCAAAACGCGGAACAAATCAGTTGACTATTTTTAATAAAAAGGGGCTTATATGGGGACTACCCCCAAAAGGGGATGAATATACATAATTTTTGAGATGGAGATTTGTTACCAAATACGACTACAAAATACGAAATTACAGCGAATTCTGTTGAAAAAACACACTTAAACCACCCAAAATACCTTTATATTGGGACTACCGGAAAAGGTGGACTTACACTTACATTTATAAATTTTGATGAAAATATTTGGTACCCAATAAAAGCCAAATATACCAAATTTCATCGAATTTGGTAGAAAACGCGCTTAAGAACTCCAAAATACCGAAAATTGGAAGTACGGTTATATGGGGCTACCAGAAAAAGTAGAACAATGTTTATAATTTTTAGTAGATACATAGGTATCCAATGTTCCAAATTTTAGCGAATTGTGTTGAAAAAAGCGCTCTAGAACACCAAAAGCGCTCTAGCCGATATAGCTCATCTTCGAACTTGACCTACCTGCAGACAAAACACAACCCTATGCACTATTTCAGCAGCCTATCTCCTTCTGATCCTTCAGAAGATAGCGTGATTACAACAGACGGACGGAGGGACTGAATGGCGGACATGGCTAGATCGTCTTAGAATTTTACCCTGATACTTTATAGTGTCGGAAATAAATTATCGCATTTTTATCCGATCCTGGATTTTTTTTCGTTAAAAAAGTAAGCTCTTCTTTAATTAAAAATCCACGCCTTGTAGGTGCTTAAAAAATTATTCTTGAAAAATCCACGCCTTAGAGGTGCTTCAAAAAATTACTCTAAAACAATTGTCCATATACAAAATTGCTCAGGACCAGAACCTCAACATTATTCCTTTTTTGTCTACTTTTTATAGAATTTTTTCCTCTGAATATGTTCTTTAGAAAAATGCCCTCCTCTGGTCAGAAGAATTTTCTAAAAAATTGCTCAGGACCAGGGGTCCACATCAAAAACCATTTCTTTTTCATAAATATTTTTTTCCATAATTGCAGAATTTTTTCCTCTGATGTCTGACCATGAGGAATTTTTTCCTTATCCTAGAGAATAGCCAAGGGGCTATTTTTTTTACATCTATTGATCCTGGAAATTTTTGCTCTAAAAAAATGTCTCCTCACAAGAGGTTTTTGGTTCAGAGGTTTTTGTTCTTCAACCAATGGGAATTTATTTTTTTCTCCTTCCCAGGATTCAAAATGCAGTCTCTTATTACAAGGATATTTCCATATCAAAATAACCAGTAGGATTTTTTTCTGATGCTGGAGATGTTTTTTTATTTAAAATATAGTTCATCCTCTGCCTCATTTAAACAATTAATGAGGCAGAGGATGAAATATATTTTAAATAAAAAAAAAACATCTCTAGCATCAGAAAAAATTGTGCCCTATTCCTCCTTATTTTTACAAAAATAGCCTCTCAGAAGTTCTTACTATGACCAAGAGTAATTTGTTTAATACCCTGGGATTATTTTTCTTTAGAAAAATTCCTTCCTCTTGTCACAAGGATTTTTATACACACAAAAAATGATGTATCTCGTAATTCTGATAAAGAATTGACCTCTGGACCTAAATAATTTTTCTCCATATACAAAACTAATCTTTTAATAGGGATTTTTATGAAAAAAGTCCTTTGATTCAGAATATTTTTTTAAAGGGCTATCCGATTCAGAGCATTTTTTCTGTACAAAAAATTACTTCCTCGCCAAAAGGGAATTTTTTCCTGATCCTGCAGATATTTTTTCTTAAATATATTTTATGTGTAATGTTAAAAAAATCCACCACCACTGATTACAAATTAAAAAGCAAACAAACCCAAGCAACATAAAAATGGAACGATGAGATGTTACCTAAAAAACTGCAGCTATTATACGCACTTCCAGATCGGCGGCCAGTTGTTTTATTACAGCTCCAAGTATTTTGAAAATTTATTTTATCCTTTGTTGTGGACATAATAAGGCATCGGTAAGTGGTGGCTGTGGTGATGGTGTTCGGTAAATGGTTGCAATGGTAATGTTGTTGTAATTCGTGTTGTTGTTGTTATTTTTCTTGTTGTTGTTATTTTTCTTGTTGCTGCCACCGAGACGGATGTTGTGGCTAAAGCTGTCAATGATGTGGATCGAGGGAATGTTGATGCCGATGTCGATGTTCTTGGTCTTGTTGCAGCACCAATAATGGCTGTTTGTATTTAATGGTAGCGGTGTTGTTGTTGTAGTTCTTGTATTTAAGTTTGTTTTTGTTGTGTTCTTGTTGTGGCTTTTGTTGTTATTTTTGCTGCTACTGAAGATGTTGTTAAAACAAAAGCGACAATGATGACGAAAATAATTGCCAGCCCCACTTAAAGTCAACAGCCAGCGATCCATGTAGATGGAGCATGGAATGGGGATTTTTGGATTTCGAGGGCAATGTAAAAGGAAATATTCCGCCTTGGCAAGGGGTAGGGGGAATGTTGGATGCTGCTGCTGCTACGTATCTCCGGAATTTCGGTAAACAATGCCAAATGCCTACACTAAATTACAGCAAATAATGATAATGCGTGAATGGACCTGGACAAGGTCTGTGGCTAATTTTTTATAGATTTTTTCCGAAGGTTTTTTTCTTTGTTGGCGAACTTTATTGAAGTCAAGTTTGCAAATTGTTGTTGTAGCCAAAGAAGATAAGTGTCGTAAGGGGAGCCAATAAAACACCAAGGGAAAAAATTCTGAGTATTTTTTTTTTTAATTTTTTTCGTTAACGAAATCACATTGTTTGCTGGGTTGTATGTTGTATTTTATTCCGATTTTTTGTTTGTCATATTTGTATTTGTCACATTTTTTCACTTTGTTGTCCAATAAGACATGAAGTAAAAATATATTTTTTAAATTTTGTTTCTTTAACATTGGCACATTGTTTGCTGGGTTAGGTTTTATTTTTAATTGAATTTTTATTTTTTTTACAGTTGTGATATCTATAAAAAACTAGAAATAAAAATTATGTCACATTTTTTTTTATTTTTTTCTTTAAGGTTGGCACATTGTTTGCTGGGTTAGGTTTTATTTTTAATTGAATTTTTATTTTTTTAAAGTTGTGTTATCAAATTAAACATGAAATTAAACAATATATAATTTTTTTAAATTATTTCCTTAAATTGATGCCACTTGGTTTGCTGGGTTATGTTTTTTATTTTTATTATTTCTTAATTTTTTTCATTTAGTACCCATAAAACTTCAAGTAAAAAATCTACAAATATATATTATTTTAATTTGTTTTTCTTTTTTGATACCGCATTGTTTGCTGGGTTAGGTTTTATTTTTAATTAAATTTTTATTTTTTTACAATTTTGATATCAAATAAAACTTGAAGTAAAAAATATGTCACATTTTTTTAGTTTTTTTCTTTTTTGCAACAACTTGGTTTGCTGGGTTATGTTTTTTATTTTTATTATTTCTTAATTTTTTTCATTTAGTAGCCAATACAACTTCAAGTAAAAAATCTACAAATATATATTATTTTAATTTCTTTTTCTTTATTGATACCGCTTTGTTTGCTGGGTTAGGTTTTATTTTTAATTGAATTTCATTTTTCTGCACTTGTGATATGAAATAAAATTGGAAATAAAAATATATACTTTTTTTAATTTTTTCCCTTTATTGCTACCACTTGCTTTGCTGGGTTATGTTTTTATTTTTATTATTTATTAATTATTTTTAATAGTAGCCAATAAAACTTGAAGTAAAAAATCTACAAATATATATTATTTCCATTTTTTCTTTATCAACACCACTTTGTTTGCTGGGTTATGTTTTATTTTTAAATTGATTTTTTTACAGTTGTGATATCTAATAAAACTGGAAATAAAAAATATACATGACATTTTTCTTATTTATTTTTTTTATTATTTTCTTTATTGATGTCCCATTGTTTGCTGGGTTATGTTTTTTTTTATTTTTTTATTATTTGAAATTGCGGCACTTTTCTTTTTGATGTACTCTTGATGTAGTTGACACACAATTATTTTTTTATTTTTATTTTATATTTATTTTATTTATTTTCCATTTATTTGTAGTAACCTTTTTTTGTTATTTCAAAAATTTTTTTAACACTGCTGCGGAAAAGTATGCGTCACATCATCATTTTTTATTGCCACTTTTTTCACAATTATCATTTTTTGTTTGTTTCACTTCTTCTTCTACTTCTTTGTTTGGTTGTTAACTTTTTGTTAGCCTTTTGATCTTCTTGTTGTTGCTGTTTTCTTTGTTGCCCTGCTTTGTTGTTGTCTTGTATTATTTTTGTTATTATTGTTGTATTATTTCTGTTATTCTGTTATTGTTCTGCTTTTTTAACTTGGCTTACTTAACGTTGACCATTTGTGTGTATTTTGTCGCCGCAAAGATCATTGTCATGGCTATATTTTTTTGAGTTGTATTTTTTTCGAGTTGGCTTTTTGTCTGTGTTTATATTTTTCTTGTTGTTTTTATTTTTAATCCAAGAAAATGTTTTGTTTTATTTTTTTTTTAATTTTGTTGTTGTTGCTATTTTTGTGTATAGCACGTTGTTGTCTTAACCTTTAGATCCTAAAGCAGGATTTTAAAAAACGATTGAGTTGATTTTTTAAATAATTTTTTCAAAGATTTTTGGTTTTTGGTATGAAAATTTTTTCTATCTACAGATCACACAATGTGATTTTATTGACTAGTTTTTAGAAATATTTCTACAATTTTTTAAGGTCTTTCAGAACTCTTATATAGATTTTTTTTATATATAAAAAATTGATTCTCTGGAATTTCTACTGTTTTTTATAGAGAATTTCAAGGCAAGCTCTGAGGATTTTTGTAAGGTATTTTTCTGGTCCATACGAAAATGTCTTACAATTTATATTAATAGGCCTTTCGAAACCTAAATGGTCTTTTTGGACCTATGTAATTTGTTACCCATGGAAATGTTGTGTGTGTATTTTTTTTTTTCTATGGAGAAAATTTTTGTCTGCTCAGAGGCAAGTTTTTATAGAAAATTAGTCATCTCTTCCTATGAAACTTGATCCTCTTAGGACAGGATTTTTTTCGAAAAAAAATTCATTCTTAGAAGAAGTCCTGTGAAAAAATTTTTAGAGCTTTTTCTAGGAAGGAATTTTCTCTCCGCCTAGAGGCAATTTTTATGGATAAAGAATGTTAGTCTTATTCCTGAAGGAAAAAAATTATCTTCTGATTCTGGTGAACTATTTTCTACAAAGGGAAAAATGTTCCTCTGACCTTGAGCATTTTTCTATAGAACAAATTGTTTGAGGCCCTTTTTTAAGAAAAAATTGGTGTGTGTCTTTTGTTCTGATATTTTTTCTTAAAAAAACAAATTAATATTAAGATGGTTTGTCCACGGCATTTGGATGAATTTTTATAAGAAAATTCACTGTTATAATTAGAAAAAAAATATTTTGAAATAAAAAACAATATTTTGAAATAGTTTTTCCATTTCGTCCTGAAAGCCTGTGAAATATTGAAAAAATTGGCTTTGGATCTATAAAAACATTTCTTCTGAAAATTAAATCAACTTCAATTACTGAGAACTTTTTTTTTGACCGAGACCAATTTTATTTAGTATAAAAAAATGTCCATTGATTCTAAGACAATTTGTTCCTATAGTAAAAAGTTATATTGAACCAGTAAGGAAAGTAGTAAAGTCGGACGGGGCCGACTATATGATACCCTTCACCACTATGGATATATTAAACAGGACTATTAACATGAAATTGGATGAAATAAAATATGTGATATTTATCTAAATGTGAATCTACCTAGATCTATCCATAAAGTATGTAAATCGACTTCAAACAAATATAAATAGGTCATCCGTTGGGCTATGTGTGTACTTCTAGAAAACGCAACTACGTAATTCTATGCTCAATTTTGTACGTTGTGCAAAATTTGATGTCAACCTGACTAGCATGAAGAGTTTGATGTCCAATTTACTTAAAATCGGGCGAAAATATATATGGAAGCTCTATCCAAATATATCGAAGGATATATAGGGACTTTGGTGCACCATTTACATGAAATCGGACGAAACTATATCTGAATCTGGGCCGATTTTCTCGAAACTGGGCAGACATCATTCTAGGCTCAATTCAGTACGTTATGCCAAATTTCCTGCAAATCGAAAGATATAAAGGGACTTTGGGGCACCATTAACATGAAATCGGACGAAACTATATACGGGAGCTATATCTAAATCTGGACCGATTTTCGCGAAACTGGGCAGACATCATTCTAGCCTCAATTCAGTACGTTATGCCAAATTTCATGCAAATCGAAAGATATATAAGGACTTTGGTACACCATTTACCTTAAATCGGAGGAAGATATATACGGGAGCTATATCTAAATCTGAACCGATTTTCACGAAACTTTGCACACATCATTCTAGACTTAATTCAGTGCGCTATGCCAAATTTCGTGCAAATCGAAAGATATATAGGGACTTTGGTACGCCATTTACCAAAAATCGGCCGAAACTATATATGGGAGCTATATCTAAATCTGAACCGATTTTCACGAAACTTGGCACATATCTTTCGTTGCTCAATTCAGTACGCTATGCCAAATTTCGTGCAAATCGAAAGATTTTCAGGGTCTAAAGTCCGTAAATCGGGCAAAAATATATATGGGAGCTATATCTAAATCTGAACCGATTTTTCCCAATTTCAATAGGGTTCGTCCTTGGGCCAAACAAATGAGCTGTGCCAAATTTCATCCAAATCGGATCATAAATGCGACCTGTACTTTGTTTACAATTTAACATGGACAGACGGACAGACGGACGGACGGACGGACATGCATAAATCGATTCAGAAAGTGATTCTATGCATATTCTCAAAAGGAACCATGGGTCTATCTCGATTATTTTTGCCTGTTACAAACATATGCACAAAGACATAATACCCTGTACCACAGTGTGGTGAAGGGTTTAACCAGGGAGCCGAACAGTTTAGGACAGGACCTAC